TGATTTGTAGGTGCCTCCCATCTCTCACTTACCTGATCTGTAGGCTGCCCCATCCCATCTCTCACTTACATGATCTGTAGGCTGCCCCCATCTCTCACTTACCTGATCTGTAGGCTGCCCCACCATCCCTCACTTACCTGATCTGTAGGCTGCTCCCATCTCTCACTTAACTGATCTGTAGGCTGCCCCCATCTCTCACTTACCTGATCTGTAGGCTGCCCCCCATGCCTCACTTACCTAATCTGTAGGCTCCCCCCATGACTCACTTACCTAATTTGTATGCTGCTCCCCCCCACCCCTCACTTACCTGATCTGCAGGCTGCCCCCCTATCTCTCACTTACCTGATCTGTAGGCTGCTCCCCCCCAATCTGCAGGCTGCCCCCCATCTCTCACTTACTTGATCTTTAGGCTGCTCCCCCCATGCCTCACTTACATAATCTGTAGACTGCCCCCCTCATCCCTCACTTACCTGATCTTTAGGCTGCCTCCCCATCTCTCACTTACCTGATCTGTAGGCTGTCTCTGCAGGCTGGGAGTTGCTGGCTGCATGTGCTGCTCCCCTGCGGATTCAGTCAGTAGAGAGAAGCAAGGATAAGATGTAGTTTCCTATCCCTTCCTCTCTCCACACACACACACAGGAAGGAACCAGGTAACCCTTGTTATTTTACAGCCCCATCGACACCACTCTGCCAACAGGCTTTAATGTTTAAGGCAGAAAAAGATAAGCTATGAATAAAGCCTGTTTTAGAGAATTTTTGGTCACATTTGCTAATTTTTTTTGCATTTAATAAATTATTATTATTATTATTATCTTTGATTTTTATATTATATTTTATGTATATTGGAAAATAAATGTGCATACCTGTGTTAGAATGTCTCAACAGATAAGCTCTAAAATCATGTCTGTGTATGACATGTAGTGGCTAGTTGGAATGATGATGACTTGAGTCTGTAGTAATGAGCTATGATACATCAGCAATGATTTGAAACTGAACTGAAGATTTTGAGTTGAAGTTGATGTAGCAGAAATATATTTATGATTCTATCAATTTATTTTCATTACGTCTACAGATTTTAAATATTATTCATGAATTTATAAATGAGGTTTGTACATAATTTTGGTGTTGTACATAATATGAAGCAACAATGTTTACATATGTTAATGGAACACTCTAAACAACATAATCTCTACAGCTCAGTGTAATGATTATCTTGCCAATACTCTTTGGACTCTGTCCCCCAGTTCTTTGACAAATCACTTATAGGCAGTTGTACAAAAATCTAGGCTTTCTCCAACATACAGAAATGGCTCCCTTCTTGGTCACATTAATAATGTTGAATTTACACTGCATTTTTAGAGTCAAATTTGTGCAACCTGAATTGCGTTTATAGGCTGAGAGCGCTGAGGCTGAGTTTATAAGAGTAATTTCTTTAGAGGGACACTCCACTGCATTAATAAAAATAAAAAAATAACTGTTTAGTAGATGGATTTTTTATTGGGGTATATTAAAACACTTTGCAGTACATGTAGATCTCTTGTCTGAAGCCTTTGCAAACCCTCTTCTTTTAAGCCAGGTCAGACTTTTTTGTGGCTCTCCAACTACATGTGACCAATGCAGCTCAATGAGAAGTCTTGGCAAGGCAGACACTCTGTGCAATTAAAGAGACACTCCACTACCCAAACAGATGCACAAAAATAATACAAAGTCATTATTTAGCACATATGCCCTAAATAAAAACATTTAGCATTTCATTATGCATTTTTTTTCATTGGTCATATATCTAAAAACAGCTTGCAAAAGTAGCATATCACTTGTATGCAGTCTTTGCAATGATTCCTTATTTCCCCGGCTCAGGCTTTCTGTGGCTGTCCAATTTGAGAAGTCTTTGCAAGGCACGAGCTCTTGGTATTTGCCTGCCTCTAGAGTTTAGCTCCATTGAAGTAATCAGAAGTAATTGGACCAGTTTCCTGATTGACAGCCAAAGAGGTGTAACAAGATATGATGGAGCTCCCAGTTTGTTTCCTAAACACTTGCTAGGACCCTGGAGTGCTTCAACCCCAGTCGCCAAGGTTCCATCTGACCAGGCCACAACTGTCCTTTCAGGCAGGTATAGTTCCCTCTGCCTATTCTGCTGCAGCCCTTCTTCCAGGCAGGAAGGCACCCACCTCTGCCTTTACAATGGCACTTACGGCTCTCCTTTCTCGCCTTGACTACTGTAATCCGCTTCTCAGTGGTCTTATGTGCTCCCAACTTGCCCCATTACAGGCCATAATGAATGCGGCGGCAAGGCTCATCTTCCTGTCCACCAACACCTCCCACGCCTCACCCTTCTATCAGTCCTTACATTGGTTTCCTGTAAGATATAGGGTTCAATTTAAAATTCTGGTTCTTGCTTTCAAATCTCTACATAATGCTGCTGCCACCTATCTATCCTCCCTAATACACAAGTATGTCCCATCTAGGGACATACTTTTGTATTAGGCCCTTTCACTCTGCTGAAGACTTACGTCTATCTTCTGTCCGTACTCCCACCTCTGATGCTCGCCTTCAAGACTTCTCGAGGGCTGGCTGTACCATTCCTGTGGAACTCACTTCCCTCCTCTGTTAGATGCTCACCAAGTCTCCACTCCTCAAAAAAATCATTAAAAACCCACTTCTTCATAAAAGCGTATCAATTAAACTGTTAATAGCTCCCGTCTGATTCCTCTCTTGCAACTATTATTAGTCTAATACTATCCTTACCTTTTGTGTCACTTTACCCCACTCCCTCTAGCATGTAAGTTCATTGAGCAGGGCCCTTAACCCCTCTGTTCCTGTGTGTCCAACTTGTCTGGTTACCAAATGTTTGTTCGTCCAGCCACTGTAAAGCGCTGCGGAATTAAATGATAACATAATTATAATAATAACTTATCCCAGGGCTAGATGGATCATACAGCCAGCCAACAGGTCTGACGACTCTGTCACTGGGATCCCTAGAATTCCACATGGGACAAAAAGTTCCAAAAGAAACTAACATACAAATTTTTTTTCTCGGGACTGGCCCAAATGCTCCTTACATGTAACTTATAGTGACTACTCAATCAACATACAAATAATCAAATCATATCAGACAACATACAGGGACTTATAATGACATATTTATAAGGAATACAATAATTAACAGAAAATATCTCTACTGGCTGCAAAATTAGCAATATGCAAATCTACCTGAATAATCAAATTAACAAGCCTTGCTATTCAGGTAGAGCATATAGCTGTTGCTACCAACAGAGGTCGCTATACATAGGAGCAATTTAGGAACCTTTGCAAAGTGTCCTTCTGCTCTCAGTAATGGTGACTACTGTCTCATAAGGCTAATTAACAAATGTGATATTGAAATATGCATTTTTTTTGTAAAATGAAAAAAAATGACACATTCTTCACACATACTTGAAAATGATAGAAATCTCAATGTATCCTTACTGGTAAAATGTTTTATAAATAAATAAATAGAGCACTTCAGCAAGATACAGTTCTTTAGAAGTCTAAAGTGTACCTTACCGATTCCTATAAACATACCTCACAACAGTCCAAGGTTTGATGAGGTAGTCCTAAACGTGGCCCCTGTCCTGCTTTTCATGGTTATTTTCTAGTTCTCTGCTTTTGGGAACACCAAATGTTCTTAATAGGTTCGGTATTAACAGGGGCGTACCTAGGGCATTTGGCACCCGGATCGGGTCCTATTTTTGGCACCCCCCCCCCCACATACACTTTAAAATGTATAAAACAACCACCTTTTTTAAAAATGTATTTAGCACTGAGCAGTGTTTGTGTGTTTGAATGTTATATGTAGTGTTGACGTTGAAATGCAGGGGGTGTATATGTGTGTAGTGTTGGTGAAATTCTGAGATATATGCACATATACACACTGACACACATGCAGATACATATACACTCATGCAGATACATAGACACACTGACACACATACAGACACAGTGGCGAGACTAAAAACTAAATATTGGGGGGAGGAGGTAGATAAGATACCACAGTCAAAACTAGGGGGGCACTAAAACTTTTCACTAGGGGATGGGGTAATATGCTGCCATTGGCTGTCTGATGCCAGCATGGCATCCTGCAACAAATTTGCATAGAATTCACATTAGCCACCCATATTTCTTGTTGTGGGCTGTCTGACACCTCTTAACTTCGATCTTTGTTTATCAGATAACTCACCTATTTGATATTCTTATGTGGGATTGCCATATTTAAGGACACCAAATAAGGGCTCTATCTGCTAAACAGCACCCTAATTTAGTATCTTTAAATATGGAAATCTCACATAAGGGAATTATCTACTAAACAGCTAAAATATCAAAATTGAAAAAGGCCTTTTCCTAATTTTAATCTTTCGGTTGTTTAGTAGATAACTCACTTATTTGTTATCCTTATGTGAGATTGCAATATTTAAGGACACCAAGTAAGGAAGCTATTTATATAAACACGCAATAGCACAATAGATGTGTGTGACACACACAATCACAACACACAACACACTTAACCACAGACCTACACACACAATAAAAAAAAACACACTTAACCACAGACGCACACACAATCACACACATAAGCACAGACATACACAAACACAATCACAGACCACACACATATAATCACTGACCCACACACGTACAATCACAGACCCCCCCCACACACAATCACAGACACACACACACAATCATCACATACATACATACATACATTTAATAAGAGGTCCATCAAACTATCCTACCTTGCTCTGGGAGGGCTGAGTGGAGGGCTAGTGGTCAGTGGTTGCTGCTGGGATCTCTGTGCTCTTCCTGCACAGGTACCTTGCGTGCACTGTAATGATGCCGATGCCGACAGGGTCAAATATAGTACGTTACATTTTTCAGTTTATACACACTGAAATTTGCCAGACTTGTTATGTTGCCTTTGAGACCAAATAGTAGCCCAGGAATGAAAATTACCCCCATGATGGCATGCCATTTGCAAAAGTAAACAACCCAAGGTATTACAAATGGGGTATGTCCAGTCTTTTTAAGTAGCCACTTAGTCACAAACATTGGCCAAAATTAGCATTAGAATTAGTTTTTTGCAATTTTCACACACAAACAAATATGAACGCTAACTTTGGCCAGTGTTTGTGACTAAGTGGCTACTTAAAAAGACTGGACATACCCCATTTGCAAAACCTTGGGTTGCCTACTTTTGTAAATGGAATGCCATCCTGGGGGTAATTCTCATTCCTGGACTACCATATGGTCTCAAAGGCAACATAACCAATCTGGCAAATTTCAATGTGAAAAAAATGAAATGCAAGCCTTATATTTGACTAACTTTTAAAAACACCATAAAACCTGTACATGGGGGACACTGTTATACTCGGGAGACTTCGTTGAACACAAATATTATTCTTTCAAAACCATAAAACGTATCACAACAATGTTATCGTTAATGAAAGTGCCATTTGTATGTGCAAAATGCAAATATCGTCATTGTGATACATTTTACTGTTTTGAAATACTAATATTTGTGTTCAGTGAAGTCTCTTGAGTAAAACAGTACCCCCCTCCCCCCATGTACAGGTTTTATGGCATCTTGGAAAGCTTTACTTTTACAGCGTTTTTAAACTTTATTTAACTTTGTTTTAGGAATCAGGGGGACTGCCCGTCATTTCAGGCAGGCCCCCTGCAGGCACTGCTGTGGACGGCCTTTCCGTCCATGTGATCATGACGTCATCGCAATCACATGGCCCGGGATGGCCGGATTAGCAGCAGGGGGACTCCCTGGGATGCCAGGCAAGTCCCCCCATCGCGATCACGGGCGAGTAGGTAAGTGCATAGGACGGCAGGGACCTGGTCCTAAACGCCGGCGGGTGGCATAGTACGCCCGCCATCCTTAAGGGGTTATACACTGATAGCAAGTACCACACAGATAGTACCACAGCAGCTATCAGTTTCACATAGCTCAGTTCACTCTTTAGTGAACAGGACTATGTTCAGCTTTAGGCAGAGCCACAGTCCAGGGACCTCTCTCCTGGTCCAAACCCCCAGTATTGTCCCTAACCCCCTCTACAAGTTCTAAACCCACTACAGCTTCTAATCCCCCACTATTGCCTCTAACCACACACTAAAAGTCTTAACCCCTCACTATTGCCTCTAACCCCCTCTTCAAGTTCTAAACCCCACTACAACCGCTAACCCTCCACTATTGCCTGTAACCACCCACTACAAATTCTAACCCCCACTATTGCCTCTAACCCTCCACTACTGTCCCTAACCCTCCACTACAAGTCCTAACCCACCACTACTGCCCCTAACCCTCCACTATTGCCCCTAACCCCCTCTACAAGTTCTAAACCCCACTACAGCCCCTAACCCCCACTATTGCCTCTAACCACCTACTACAGGTCCTAACCCATAATTATTTCCACTAAGCACCCACTACAGCCCCCATCCCCTGTGATAGCCCCTAATCCCCTGTTAATGCCTATGATCCCCCACCACAAGTCCTGACCACTCCTCTAAAAGTCCTGACCCTCACCTACTGCCCCTAACCTCCCACCACAGGATCTGACCTCCCTACAGCCCCTCACCCCTGCACTACAGGTCCTGACCCACCACTACAGGTTCTGATCCCCCCTACTGCCCCTCATCTCCCACCACAGGTCCTGACCCCCTCCTATTAATCCTCACCCCCAGCCACAGGTTCTGACCCTCCCCATTTCAGTCTTTGATTCCCCAGTACAGGTCCTGACCCGCCCACACTACAGGTCCTGCACCCGCTTCCCCTGTGTTGGTATACCAATGAGTTTATCTTGTGTGAGTGTGAGAGTTCTACAAGTCCTGACCCTCACCTTCTGCCCCTCACCCTCCACCACAGGTCCTGACCCCCCTACAGCCCCTCACCCCTGCACTACAGGCAGGGCCGTCTTTAATTCTGATTGGACCCTGGGCAAGCATTTACTTGGGCCCCCTGACTACATATAGATACACACAAATACAAAACCTGACACACATGCAAATACACACTGACTGCATATAGATACACACAAGAACATACAGATACACACAGACTACATATAGAACACTGACACACAGATAGACACAAACACAGATACACAACCTGACAAACATGCAGATACACAGATACAAACACTGATACATGCAGATACAAAGGTACACACACTGACTACATATAGATACACCGACACACACACTGACACACATACAGACACACAGATACACAGATACACAACCTGACACACATGCAGATATACATATACAAACACGGACACATACAGATACACACTGACTATATATAGATACACACACAAACACAAACGGACAACATACAGATACAGAGGCACATTCTGACAGACGTACTGACACAGAGACACACACAGACAGCCATACTGAAACACACATACACACAGACATACAGAACCACATGGACACTGACAGACTCACACGTAGACATACTGACACGCTGACAGACATACAGACATTCTGGCACACATACACACAGACAGACATACTGAAACACACATACACACAGACACTGACAGACGTACACACATACAGACATTTTGACACTCACAGACAGCCATACTGAAACACACATACACACATACATACTGAACCACACAGACACTGACCGACTCACACACACAGACATACTGACACGCTGACAGACATACTGGCACATATACACACAGACGGACATACTGAAAGACACATACACACAGACACTGACAGACATACTGACAAACACAGACATACAGAACCACACACACACTGACAGACTCATACACACAGACATACTGACACACTGACAGACAGACATACATACATACTCACACACACACACACACACAGACACTCATGCAAAATTTGATAACCACCCTCCAGTTTCTTACCTTTTCCTGGAGGGTGGCTTCCCTGGGGTCCAGTGGGCTGGCTGGGGTGGCTGGGAGTTAAGCTCTCCCGGCCTGGCCCCCTCCGGAACAGCTCCTTCCTCCCGCGCGGCTCTTGTTTCTGTGGGAGGAAGTGACGCGCGGCTGTCACTTCCTCCCAGTGCTGCCGAAAAAGCAAGGACCCGGTCGCGCTGTTAAAGCGCCACAGCGCCCGACCGGGCCCTGCTGACACAGGCCCACCGGGTGGCCCTAAGTGCATGGGCCACCCGATGGGCCCCCATAGTTTGCGGGCAGAGGGCAAAAGGAGCAGCTGTCTTGGGCCCCCCACCAGGGACAGGGCCCGGGGCAGCTGCCCCGTTTGCCCTGCATTAAAGACGGCCCTGACTACAGGTCCTGACCCCCCACTACAGGTTCTGATCCCCCCCTACTGCCCCTCACTTCCCACCACAGGCCCTGATCCCCTTCTTCCCTCCCCCTTCCTTATTGATCTTCACCCCCCAGCCACAGGTTCTGACCCTCCCCCATTTCAGTCTTTGATCCCCCACTACAGGTCCTGACCCGCTCACACTACAGGTCCTGCACCCCACTAATGGCCCTGAAACCCCCTCCCCTGTGTTTGTATACCAATGAGTTTATCTGTAGTAAACTTGTGTGAGTGTCAGAGTTTGTACTAAGTTTGTGTGTGTGTACCAGCAAGCTTTTCTGTGTGTGTCAGTGAGATTGTCTGTCAGTGAGCCTATTGGTGTGTATAAGTGATCTGTTTTTATGTATCAATTAGATTGTCTGTCTGTGAACCTGTGTATCAATGAGCTTGTGTGCTTGTGTCAGTGAGATTGTCTGTCTGCATGTTCGTATGCTTACTGTATAATTAAATCTTTTACACTGAGAGAACCAATATTTTGAATTAAAAAACAAAACATACCAATAATATATATATATATATATTTATATATACACACACACACACACATACTACATGGCCCAATGACTTATGGGGGCTGGCATTGAGAATACATACATATACACACACACACACACACACACATATATATATGTGTATATATATACACACACATACTACATGGCCCAGTGACTTATGGGTCTGGCATTGAGAATGCTTTCCTATGAGACTGGCTGAATGCGCGCGCGGCTCTTGCCGCGCATGCGCATTCAGCCGATGATGGCAGAAGAAGGAGGAGATTCCCCAGCGCTGAGGGAGCCCGACGCTGGAGAAAGGTAAGTGTTTAACCCCTTCCTCACTCTAGAGCCTGGTGGGAGGGGGACCCGAGGGTGAGGGGGACCCAAGGACCCTATAGAGCCAGGAAAACTAGTATGTTTTCCTGGCACTATAGTGGTCCTTTAACTCCATTTTTACTTTTTTGCAGGGACCTAATATAAGAAAAGTGGCTACTACCCCTTTCCCTGGGCTCCCATCCAAAGGCTGTTGCTGCTGTTCTGACTGAATATCCCCTTTTTGGTGGTTGTTCTGAGTGGGGTAGGGCTGCAAGTGCTTTGCTCTATAAAGCATGGCAGTTTTTTCTTTTGCTTCTTTGTAGAAACCTTATAAAAAAGTTATTGCCACATTTTTCCCTGGGCTCACGTACAAAGGGCTACTGTCGTAGTTTTGAGTGAACCCCTTTTCTGCCAGTCTGCCATATTTTTCCTGGGCTCACATCCAGTTCTTATTTTATTATTATGTTAACATTTATATAGCATCAATATATTCAGCAGTGCTTTACAATAATAAAAAAGGGATATTTGGAGGCGAAGAAGACCCTGTTTAAATAAGTTTACAATATATGAGGATTTAACCAAGTAAATTCTTTCCACGCGCATTTATACTGTTTAGCCCATCTGATATTCACATTTTTGAGAACCCACCATTTTTTCCACCCACTGCAAGTCCAGTGATGAGCATCAGTGACCCCTCAACATTGAGAATTATTTGTGAGGCCTATACTGCCTCTAAAAATCCCATCAAATTTCTCAAAGCAGGATGTTAAATTACTGAACTCTAAATATATTGTATATAACTGCAGCATATTTCTTATATGTATCAGTGAAACTGCTTTATTGTGCCTGTAGCTTTTATTGGTTGAAGCATTTTTGTATCTGCTGGAAAGAGGCCTTTGCCTTGTGAAAGCTTTGCAATTCAAGAGTAACATGCCATGTATTCAGCTCTGGATATTGCAAATACACATCATCTGTTCTAGTTAGCAAATGACAGCCAGAACTGGTGATTAGTACAGCACTGTCTTTGCACAGTCTGTCCCTTTTTGGAGATGTAATTAACTCTTTAAGGACAAG